TCTCACTTGTTCAAGATTTCCATTGAAAGATCTTCCCTCGTTTGCTGCTGATCTGGGTGCAACAGCCTAGGGACCCAGCTTCCTTAGGCCCAAACTCTCCACAAGAATTGTGTTTGCAGAACCCGAGGAGATGTTGATCGTGTTTGCTACCGATTCAGTGGTTATTCGTCTATCCTTTTCAATCGTCATGAACAGAATCAATGTTTTTCTCACAAATTGACATTGTTGGTCTTCAACTTTTTTTTTCCACTTCTGAAGCGACTTGGTTGTTGACTTCTTCGGGGCTTTATCACCAATATACGTCTTTCAGAGCATCAGTGATTTGCCTATTCTCCAAACCAACTTTCACCATGAACTTTGTTTGTTCTGGTCTCGAATTTGGTGGATTCCATGTTGCTTGAATGGTGCCTGACTTTCAACTGACGGCGATGGGTTCTTACCTGCATTTAAGGGTTCACGTTTGAACATGTTATAACACGTTGATACAAGAATGTTCAAGTGCACTGAAATCAAAATCCTTCCAAACAAATTCTAGTTATGGACTTTTTCCACAAATTGTTGAAGCCCCCTCGTTTATATATATATATATATATATATATATATATATATATATATATATATATATATATATATAACTGTGTGTGTGTGTGTGGAACAAGGCTTAAAATGGCTTACAGTTATCGAATTGTGCCAAGCATCCCCGAGGCAACCAGCACCTGTGATGAACCGCGATGACTGACGCGCTTAACACCTGCACCTTCTTTGTCTTTGGGATGAGATTTATTCGAGAGAGACGAACCGTGGGTTTAATTTCTCTAAATAAGATGACGCAACGGATCGACTAATGAATATGACGACTTAACGGGGTCGATTGATTAGTTGAGAGAAAGATAAAAGAGAGAGGATGTTGAAAACGGAATCTTTACTTCTGAGACTACGAAACATCAGAGAAAATCACGCCACATCAGCATTATATATCACATAACGCCAACAGCATAAGAAAGAAAAGGCTTATTACATCAAGTGACAATGGAACTTCTGTTCATTTTCGGGTACTGTTGGATAGCATGAAGTTGATAATAGATACGCACGAATAATATCCAGTCTAACACAGCTGGTCGCTCAGATTGGATGATCAAAAGCCTTTTTTTCGTGGGTTGTACCATGAGTCAGTTGTTCTATAGACAAACTTTCCATATCAAACGAAATTAATCATACACGCATGCTTCCATTTTAGAATGTGTATTTACAACAGGAAGATTATAAGCAACGTATTGTTCTTGAAGTGTTTTTTTTTCAGAGTATCCCTTGTATAATTTTACGATTTAGGTCTTTATTAGTTGTTGACTGACATTAAATCCACACTTCATACTTTTTAATATCTTGTTTCGAAAAGGAACAAAGTGAAATAAAAATGAAAATTTCGAGGGTTACAAACCATGATCATTGATTTCTTAAATTCTGAAGATCACCAAGTTCGCCGAGTAAACTAAATTATTTTTTTCCATTCTGCCGAGTGAAATGACGATTTGTGACCTTTGAAGGGGTGTCGCACCCCCTACCCCACCCCCACCCGTGGAATCGCGCCCGTATACATATATATAAACACACAAACATCTATGTTTACATAAATCGGTGTGTGTGGGTTCGCACAACACAAACACTCACACATACACACATATACATATATATAAATATATATACATATACATGTGTATGAACAGAAATACATACATAGATAGATACGTAGACATGTGTGTATATGCAACAGAACACTTTTGATGGCTCACAAAAATGACACGTTTCGGCCGCGATCAGCTCCCGGGAACGACTACGGCTTTGCTCTTCCCTGAACCCCTCGTGGTAGACTTGCAAGGTGTACGTATGGTAAGGCAGTTGCCACCGGTAAATTTCCCAGGGAATGTGAAAAGCTCTAGAGATAACTCTGATGATGATGATAACTACAGTGGACAGTAAAGAGGCGATTCGCATGAGCACTCATTTCTCCCAGTTACTGATACATCAACACATTAATTATCATGTCGTTTTGTGGTAGTTTTAGCGGAGTATCGAACAAGTGGCCGTATTTCTCGGAAAATTACGATAACGCGCATTCTTATCACACACAGCGTCTTTTTTCTCTGGGATAGAAATAACACGGAGGATTCTGTAGTTTTAATTTCTTTAAAGGTGATGATTTACCGGGTAATGAATTACCTGAAAGAGAAATAAGTTACAAGGAGAGAGAGAGAGAGAGGGATTAAAAAATATATATATATACTACTTTTAAGACTACAAAACATCTGCATCTCCTCGATACGACTGTTCCCTTTTTGGGCAAATGAAATAACGCCACATCAGCGGTATCACATAACACCAAGAAAAAATGGCTTACGACTTCAGAGGGTAATAAAACTTCTTTGTATTCAAATCCTGATGGATTACATGAAGCTGATAGTAGTTAAACGTGAAGTAAGCGTCATGCACTAGCTAGTCTAACACTGTTCGCCCAGATTGGCTGATCAAAACCCTTTTTGTTTTGAGGATTGTACAATAAGTCAGCTGTGCTATAAATAATCTTTCAAATAAAATTAATCATACATACATACTTCCATTTTAGAATTGGTATTTACTAAAGGAAGATTATAAGCAACGTATTGTTCCTAAAGTGTTTAAATCTGATGCAATTTCACGCATTTCAGAGTATCCCGAGTATAATTTTACGAATTAGGTCTTTATTTATTTTATTTATTTTTTTTTTTTTACTGACAGCAAGGGATTATGTCCAATGGGGCCCTAATTAGGTTCCAGATCTTAAGAGAACTTTTCTAATCCGAAAGCTTAGGAAAGGAAGCTTATAAATGAAGGTCACAAGAAGTACCGCGCCATCATGTGTCCTTTGTTGTTAAACCGAAATTCCTTGAAGATTCGGTGGCGACTTCTGGTAGTCACTAATCATTAATCCAAGGCGGATCAATCTCTCGTCTCTCGAAGTCAGGAAAACTGGAAGCCGAAATGTGACGTCAGAGGCCTCGGCTGACACTTTTGGGGGATGCAAATAAATGGAATGTTATTTCGCGTCTGTACATCTCGAGCAATGTGAATGTTCCTGGGGTTCACTATGACACACACGCACGCACGCACGCACACACGCGCACACACAGATAGATACATACATATATATGTGTAACCCAGCTATATCTATATCTAATTACTATATGATAAATATATATAGTCTTACATGTTTGTCACATACGTATCTTCACACATACATATACATATGCATATACGCCTGACCATTGCTTCCTCTGTTCATTCCTCTCTTCTTGCCTCACCAGACATTAGAATGCTGTGTTATCTATCTCTTCCTCAAGAGCTATGTATTGTTTAACGCTTCCTTGTTCATCACCGTTCGTCACATGCTAACAACGTGACTTGGTGCGATCTTTAAACCAGTGTATAGGAGATCAGGCAGACTCCCTGCAGGGAGCCAAGGAGCAACACCTCGCTCCGAGGAGCTGCCGCACTCCAACATCTTATTCAGTAAAGGAGTCAAGACATCTTGGTTGTCTTCCTTAAACCCTAAGCTCGTCATCTACCAGCTCTTGTAGGACCCAACATCTGGGCTCTTACAATATACATATATGTGTGTGTGTGTGTGTGTGTGTGTGCATGATTAAATAACCCATAATGCACCAACTAGATTTATTGACAACAGTCTCGGAATCCTCCTGGAATCCGTTTTCACCTGAAGATGGATCCCATGAGGATTTCGAAACATTGCTTTCCGTAAATCTAGTTTGTGCATTGTTTTTCTACCATTATATCAACATGACAGTGTTTTTCCATTCATATGTGTATGTATAGGCCTTTTTACCGGTGCCAAGAAACTATCTAACTACACTAGAAATATATATATATATATATATATATATATATATATATATATATATATATATATGCATGTGTGTAAACATATATGTTTAAATATATATGTGTGTGTGTGTGCATACTGTATATATAGGTATGTATGTATGTACACATTTCTGTATGTATATATATATACATATATGCACATATACACGCGCGCGCGCGCGTAAATACTTTTAACTTAGTACTTTGTGCAATAATATCCTCATTGACATCATCAAAGTTACTAATATTGCACCATACAGTGCAGCATCAACTTTGACCTTCCCATTTTCTTCCAGTTTTAAACGGGCAGAGGTGCTCCGCGCGCTCATCAGCCAGGTGCAGTTGCTTATATATGACTCCGCCCTCATAAATAGGGGCGGAGTCATAGGAAACTGTTGTACTACACCTCTTGGCGCCTGAAAAAAGGCCTATTAACATATATCGGACGTATCTGCTGACGTTTATTTACAAGTTCTGATTGTACTTGTAACACAAAGATATGTGTGACTATAAATATACATATGTATATATGTATGTCAATTGTACCACATACAACACATATACGATAGAATATTCTGCGTTCTACCA